GCTCTCAGGGCCTCCTTCACGACAGCACTGGGCCCACTCAGAGGGGCTCATGACATCACCACCTCCCATGGACCCACCACCAGACGCCATCCCAGAGGGGGTTGGGTCCCCAGTCTAGCATGAAGTTGACTGTATTGTATTAGCTGGGGGGCTCGAATACAAGCATTCGGTCCACAGTAACAATCAATGAAACCAGCAGCTGTGTCTGAGAAAAATCAGTAAAACGAGTAAAACTCTGGCCCAATGGACTAAGGAAAAACAAGAGACAACGCAGATCACCAATGAAATGAAAAAGGAGACGTGACTACAGAACCCACAGTCATTAAAAGGGCAACATGGGAAAAACCTGAACTGTACCCATAAAAGCAATGACGTAGATAAAACGGACCAACTGCTTGAAAGACACAGACTACTAAAATTCACACTAGAAGAGGTAACCTGAATAGTCCTTTATCAATCAAAGAAACTAGATTCATACTTTAACCTTCTAACAAAGAAGACTCTCAGACCAGCTGTTTCTGCCTGGGAAGTGTAGCAAGCGTTTCAGGAGGCGGTAACAGCAGTTCGACACAATCTGCTTCAGAAAACGCGAGAGATGGGAACACTCTCAACCGATTCCACGAAGCCTCCATCAGCGAGACACCACAACCTAACAGAGACGTTGCAAGAAAACTACAGAAATATTTCTCATCAACAAAAACACAAGCCCCCACACAGTCTTACCAAATTGAGTCCAGCAGTATATGAAGACGATCGATCTGTCCTGAGCATGTCAATCAATGCAGTTCACAATATTAACAGACTCAGGAAGAGAAATCACATCTCAACAGAAGAAGAAAAAGCATCTGATGAGACTGATGAAACAGATAAAACGGGGGGGGCAGGGGTCCACTCATAGGAAGAACTCTCGGAAAACAAGGAATAGAGGGAAATTTCTTAATCTGATGTAAGGCATCTATAAAAAGCAAAGCAAAGCAAAGATCAGAGGTTTCTCCCCACGCTGAGGAAAAGGCAGGCTTGTCCCCTCACCTCTTCTGCCCTACCTGGTCCCAGAAGTCCTGGAAGTGCAGTAAGGCAGGAAAAACAAAGCGTGTAGTTTGAGAAAGAAGAGAGAACGGTCTCTCTTCTCAGAAAACATGATGATGTAACAATTCCCAGAGTCCACAACAACAAAGAGCTGCTAATGAATTCAACAGGGTCGCAGACACAAAGTCAACCTAGAAGAATAAAGTGTGTTTCTATACACTGCTGAGGAAAACTGAGGTTAAACAACGGCTCATTTATAATAGCAACACACATGTAAAATGCTCACATGTAAATCTAGCAAATACGCTGAAAACACAAAACGCTGAAGACAGTAGTCATAACAGACCTAAATTAATGGGGAGGTACTGCGTTCATAAATTGGGAGGGTGGTGGTGTCAGGCTGTCAATTCTCCCCAGTCAAGTCCCAGTGAAATTTCTGCAGATATCAACAAATTAACTCTACAATGTATATGGAAAGACAGAGAAACTAGAATAGCCAAAACAATTCTGAAAAAGAACGACAGTCACAAAGAAGTGAAGAGCCGCAGCGCCCGACTTCCGGACTTACGACGGAGCTGTAGTAACCGGGCAAGCACAGCGCTTACTTGCCAGAGGCCAGACACACAGCCAACAGGACAGGACAGAGTCCAGAGACAGACACAGCAAGATGGCCAACTGACTTTTCACAAAGGTGTGAAGGCAGTTCAATGGAGAAAGGACCACCTTTTGAATAAACGGCTCTGAAACAACCGGACACTCACGTGCAGATACAGTCAGTCTTGACCTGCGCCCCACCTCGTACCACAGTTAACCAACCAGGATTACAGGCCTGAATGTGAAACTCACTGTAAAGGTATGAAGTGTTGGGCACAAGCATCAAAGAATAACCTCTGTCACCTCAGGTCAGATAAAGAGTTCTTAGATATGACACCAAAATCATGATCTATGAAAAACACCGATAGACTGGACTCCGTCAAAGTTAGATTCCTTCACTCTCCGCAAGGCCCCGTCAAGGCAGTGAGGAGGCTGGCCAGGCTGGGGACACAGACTCACCGACCCTGCGCACAGGGACGCGCTCCTAGGGCGCTCACAGGGCCTCTGAGCACAACAGCAAGAGGGCAGACAGCTCACAAGGAGGGTCCGTCGCAGCAAGTGAACACACACCGACACCCTGCGTCACTAGTGAGGAGGGAAACGCAGGTGAAACTGTAGTGAGGGTCCTGTCTGCCCCTATGGAAAAGGCTTCGTAACACTGGCGGGGCCGCAAGCACACGGCCACTTTGGAAGGCAGATTTCTTACGAAGTCAGACACACACAGGTATTATCCACACAAAAGGAAAACTTATGCTCAGAGAAAACCTGTGTGTGAGTGTTCAGCACAGCTTGATTCACAAACAGTGCATCCTGGAAACAACCCCCACATCCCCAGCGGCTGTGTGGGCAGGCGCCAGACCCTCAGGAGAGGAAGATGGAGCTCGGAGCCAGGGTGGGCAGGCGTCTGTCAGCAAACGGACAGCAGGGTGGAGATGTGGGGCTGGAGGGATTGCTCAGGGGTGGCCACCACACTGCCAAGAAGAACGCGTTTTAGTGTGCATAAATTTGAAAATACAAGTTAGAAAATGTCCGGAGCAGCATGGGACACCTGAACTCTAGCGAGGGTCACGTGGTCAGAGCGTCTTCTGGCTGGACAGGTCCGAGCTCAGCGCTCCTGCAGGCACCTCGCTGCACCTGCGTAAACGTGACGGCCTTGCAGCCCAGCTTGGACGGGGTTTGAAGCCCAGGGCCTGCTCTGATTGCACAGCCAAGGTCAGTGCGCCCAGGACCACGCCTCCCTTCCCCCTCCCCCCACCTCCCCGCCTCCTCCGTCCTGTACCCAGTGCCGCACCAAGATGCTCCCTGGCTGGCAGCTCTGTGGGCGTCCTGGCTTCCCTGAGGCCCGCAGCTTCTAACATGGACCCAGAAACGTGGGGTCCAGCCCAAGCCCCAACGGGGACCCTCGACAAGCCCCCAATGGCCCCAAACCTAGGCCTCTCCACCTTAAAATCACAGGTGATTTTAAGAGTCTGCACCAGCCCTGAATCTCCTGTGAATCGATGACAGTTTGTCTTCAAGAGATTGAAGCTTGGAGACAAGAGCTGAGAGTTTCTTCTTATTGTTGCCGGATTTGCTTATTTTGCTTTGTTTGGGAATATTTTTAAACTTCAAAAATAGACTCTAATCCCAAAATGTGAGAATCTCCGCTCCGGCGATGCTCTGGAAAGCGCTCGTCAAGTAACCTGCCCCGATTCCAATCAACGGGAATCTTCAGAAATTTCCTGTTGGGCACAGAGGCAACCACGACGGAAACTGCTGGACCTCA